AAATTCCATATTTATTGCAATAACAACTAGTATATATAGAATAATTAATTATTAATTTCATTTTAAAGTTTAATACTTTTAACTTATAACTACATATTACATACTACATACTACATATACAAAGAACGCATATATATACAAATTAATCAAATGAGTTTGTCTAGTGAAGCAAAAAACGTCTTCATGAATCGTTACGGCAACAGTGCTTAAATCAAAAGTTAGCCAAATATAATGAAGCAAAAAAGCTTTTTACGGGTTTAACGGATCTTGATTATAAACCTGGCTATAGAGAACATAAATACTGGCTTGCATCCAGGCCCGAAGGGGTGACCCTAAAGGGTTATGGCCATATCAGCTCTTCTGATAGAAATGATACTGCGCTTTTAGATACATATCAACCCGAAGAGATTTATTCTCAATATATAATTCGGATGGCAGAAAAAGGTTATATAGTGATCGATCATCCCTCTGAAGTTTATAGAATATCTGATACTCACGAATATATTAATGGTAACCAGCCTCTTTGTTTGATTATTGATATTGATGCAAAGCAAAAGCCTGATCCTACAAAACCTAAAGTGCTTTCCTTAGACAAAAAAATTATACGAGAAGATTTGTTATCTCGAATTTTAGTTGCTTGTGCAGATGCATTAAGCCTTATTCCTGATTGTATGCCTTTCTTAAATTCTTTTGCTTTAGCGAGTTCATCGAACGCTGAAAAATGTAGTTGGCATATTATTTATCCTCATGCCCAATTCATAGATTATAGAGAACTTAAGGGATTTACAGAAAAAGTTATAAAATTAGTTGGAGAACCTTATTCGAAATTTATTGATTATAGCATTCCCAAAACACATTTTAATCTTCGGCTTCTGGGATCAGCTAAGGAACATCGTATTAAAAGACCTGCTATTTCTTTTGTTAAAAATGGATTTAAAAATATAGATGATTATCTGGTTCAGCCTAAAGAAAATTATTCTGTAATCTTGCCACGAACCTTTTCTTCTGAGGAGCTAGTAAAAGAAAAATTACAACCTATCGATGATGAAAATGCTTTGAGTAGAGGTGCCAATCTAGTTATTGCAAAATATGGGTAGCTCCAGATTAGAAGAATCGAGAAGGGATTCATCAACTTTCAAGCACAATCTGTTAAAGAATGCCCTATATATGATGTTAAACATGAAAAAGACCAACTCTACGGATTTATTCGAAAAAATAGACATTTTATACTCAAGTGCTATCGGCAAAAACAATATAAACCAGATCACAAAGGGTTTAGTTTCAATAAGGTATCAGATAAAGTCGAATCAGAAGTGAAACTCAAGAAGTGAGGATTAATTGAAAGATTGCCCAAGGCTATAAAACATCCACGCCTACTCATAGAATTATCTGAAAATAATATTAATGTTAAGGAAATGGAGAATGACCCAGAAGCTTATCCAGATTTCATGAGTAAGGAACCTACTACAACCTAATTCACTCACCTGTTGCCAGTGGAAAAACAAAACCCTTAAGAGAGATTCTTAATTCTTTAGCTAAAAGTGAAGCAAGTTTATCTTGTTTTAACTGAGTTTTATATCGTAAAACTCTTAGTAATGAAACTAAAAGTAAAATCGAAGTATTACAGAAATCCGGACTTCGTGTGTACCATTATCAGAAAAATGAAGGTAATTTAGCTATACATAACTGGGATGTTATTATTGTTCAGGTCGAAAGTACACATCGTCTTAATTTTCATAGAGGTCATTCTCATATAGTTATTTTAGATGAAGCGAATAGTATTATGCGTCAAATAGCAAGTGGAATCCATACACGAGAATCTGAAAATACCATGCAGAATTTGTTAAAGTCAGCTGTTCACGTGGTTGCCATAGATGCTTTTGCAAATGAGTCAACTTTAGCCTTCTTAAGACAATA